TTCAACCTACTCTAGTTCAACTGAAGAATGATGATGGATAAGCTATTTTAAGAAAATTAGAACCATCTGCTGCAATTGGCGGCCCGACACTTACTTTTGAGTCCGAACTAAACGGAACAAAAACTTGAAAATAACTGCCTCGAGGTGAGGAAACGTTTTTTCAAAAAGAGGCTTTTTAACATCAGAAATTGCAAAATCACGAAAAAATTAACAAGAGAAATTGCAAATCATGGTTACTCTGCAGAAATGTGACAATAAATACAACGCTGAGCATCCGACAGATCAAATTAGGGAACGGAAATTCAGCCCCAACCACCAGTTTTAGGAAATGTCACGATTAAAAACCGGAGGTTGCAGAAGGAGTTACCTCGCCGAAGATTTATCTGCATTATTTGGGATCTCGTTGTGTATCTCTTCTTCCCACCGAAGGTTAACCGAGTTTTGGCGTTTTATCCAATAAACCGATTGTGTCAAGCTGACAAACTTATACAGTTTAATTTTGTGTCTGAGACGAATTTAAAGCACTTCGCAAAATCTTTTACAATAATTACAATGGACCTTATAGGCAATTTTTGCCTCGTCAAAAAAGACCAGACTGCATCCTCAAAACTTCTGCAAAAGATTATTGCTCTTTTTTTGTAATCTTTGACCATTTTTTAATCGTTTCAATTTTTGATTTGATCGGATCGGTCACGGATAGATTTTCTTCTATCTAACCGCAGGTCGTTAACTTTTTGTCGGTCTCGCTGTTCGCTTTTAAAATTTTTTACCACCCAGCGGGCGGCCATAGTTAATTTTTAAATTTGTCATGTCGGCCGTGAATTCAATTTCTCGGTTTGGAAAAACTGGTTTCATTGAGTTTCGTTCGTCGCACTTTTATTCGCGATAATTTGATAACCAAAATTTGATCGCATTTGTCTAGCAAAAAATTTATTTGTCTAGAAATGGAAAAATTTGCTCGAATGGGACTTTTTTGGATATTTTAAACTTGAGCTGGCCGAAACAAAACTGAAAGATAACATGCGTTATGAGATGTATAGGTAGGGCTACATCATGCTTTCAACCTATACAACTTCAACTGAAAAATTTTGATGGTTTATCTATTTTGACTACAATACAGCAATCTGCTGCAACTGGTTACTTCGACACTTTTGAGTCCTAACTAAACGGTGTTAAGCATTCACACTGATTTGGAAAAAAAACGTAGCAAATTCACGAGAAAGTTCAAATGAAAAATTGCAAAACATGTATACTCTGCAGAATTATGGCAGTAAATACAACGCTGACTTTCCGAAAAAACAACCTAGAGACGGAAAGTTACCCCAAATACCAATTTTCACGAACGAAAACTGGAGGCTGCTTGAGGAGTTACCTTGCAGAGGATTTATCTGCAGTTTTTGGGATTTCGTTATCTATCTCTTACTACCACTGAAGGTTAACCGAGTTTTGGCGTTTTCTCGAATAAAACGATTGCAAATTTACAGAATTTCGTTTTGTGTCTGAGATAAGTTTTAAGCACTTCGCAAAATCAGTTACAGTAATTACGATGAATATATTAGGCAAATTTTGCCTTGTCAAAACTGAGCATACTGCACCCTCGATTTTTCTGAAAAATAAAATAGCTTTTTTTTCGTAATGTTTGACCAATTTTTAATCGTTTCAGTTTTTGTTTTGACCGAGTCGGCTACGGTTAGTTTTTCTTCTATCTAACTAGTGGTCCTTACATTTTTCATCTCTCTCGCTTTTTTATTATTTGCATTTCCAGTAACTCATCAGGACACATCCGAAGAATAAAAAACATAACAACCTTGTAAACAGAGGAAAAAGTTTACGGAAAGAACCAGAATTTTTTTTTATAAAAGTTATGGGTCGGCAAACACGAAGTTGCAACAATAGTGAACCACGCGCGCCCCCATTCAATTCAATGGAATCTCACCAACAATTCCTTTGATTTGACTTTGTTGCGAGTTTTGGTGGATGGTCGTAACTGGGAAAAACTCAGAGCTCCTAATGATAAAAAAGTTGACAGGCTGTTGCTACTTCCGATAATTTTTGTGCTTGACGGAATTGTTGATTTTGGAAAACTACAAGCATCTAAACATTCAAAACAAACTTTAGAGGTTACTTACCAATTATGATCGGTTAATCAAATGAACTCTAATATCGAGTTAATAAACATAAAAGTTGTAGATAACGAGAGGTTAACGTATGTTTTGAAATTGTATGAACATTCGTACAAACATTTTAAAATTGGCTCTTAGTTATCTATCTTGGTTTTTTTTAAGATGCATTTTTAGTATTACTTTAAAAATTACTACTAAGAACAAGCAAAACAGATAAGAATTTTTTAAAAGGATTTCATTTTTCCGAAGCATTGTTTTGTGAAAAATTTCTAAACAATTGGATTTTTTCCCGAGTTGCAGAAATATGGGGAAAAAACTGAGGTTTTTAAAGATGAAAGCAAGAAGCGCTAATCAAAATGAAACGCATGTTTTTGCATACCACAGGTCTTCCCACATCATAGTTGGAGAAAAAAATCAAGGAGTATCAAACGAGTCACAATAAAAACAATTGTAAAAAAATAGCTTTACTTTAGCTGAGCCTAGACTAGGACTGAGTTGAATTTACCCAAAAATGATTTAAGGTTAACTTCACTATCCAAATGCTTTCAGATGAAGAAGTTGTTTCATTTGACAACCAAAATAATTGTTTTGGTTGGATTCTATATAGATTTACACAGATCTCGTTTCATAATGAGAGAAACTCAATTTGATAATTTCTAATTCGATTTAAATTGATCTTATTTTGAAATCGGAAAAAAATTGATTGATGCTAAATAATTTAGACTCCATTTTGTCTCTTTATAGTTTTGTTTTATAGTTTTATCTTTATATATTTTTTCATAATTAAGTCTATTCTTCTCATTCTTTTGCAAATAAAAAATTGGATACTTTTCAGATAATTTGTGGGGCTAATACTTGATCTGATAACAGACAAGAAAATCAACATATATGTCAATTTTAAGCAGCCTAATCAATTGTTGTGAGTTTTGTTTAAGAGGTAGAAGTTTTTAAGTATTCAAAAAGATAGTCGTATCACTTAACCATGAGATTGCAGACTCATCACGAGATTTCTCCCGAAAAAATTACGTTAGGTTGAAGTGAGTGTATACCACCGAACCAACGACGGGACTTTTCATTAGGACGAGTTTTTGCTCAACTTTTGGAGCTGAAATGAAATTAGAACAAGACTGCTCGTATCAGGGCAAAGCCCTGAATGTTCCGACTGCCTTTTAAGGTATATCGAGCAGTAATAACATGTAAAAAAATAAAGGAAATAAAAAAAATTTGAAAAAAAGTTCCAAAATTTGAATTTTTTTATGAAAATCATCCCCGCACACGCCATATAAAGTAGAAAAGGATAGAATTTGCTCCTTGTAACAACTCAATTATGGCAAATAAGCTTCTTTCAACCAATTTGGAACAATTTCTAAGAGGGATTAACTCTCCGCTTACGGGTTAATAGCGCGAAATATATCGCGCGTTAATTGTCCCAAATTGGCCAAAATGGCAATCTTTAAAATCCCGTAACTTTACGAAAAATGGTCACAAGTAAAATATCTTTTCAAGTTTGAGCTCATGACAACAATACATTTCGATTGATATAAAAAAAATCCGTCAAAAATGGCTAGTTAAAAAGTTAAAAAGTCGAAATTTGTCTGAAGAAAAAACCCACCCCGAGCACAAATATTCCGTTACTTTCGTATCGAAAGTCGAAACAATCAGGTTAACTTGAAACTTGCAGGGAGCTAGGATATTGAACTTGCTACGACCCAAAATTGATTCAATTTTTTCAAAACACCGAAATCAATCCATAATTCATGGATGAATCGATTTAGGCTGATTTTATATCCATTTCCGTTTCTCAATTGTTCATGGATTAAAATCAGACTAAACCTCTTTTTGTGAGTGCGAGTACTTTTGCCACATATGATCAAAAGAACTGCTTTTGGAGCATCTACAACCCCAACAAAAAACTCCAATGAGCCAATTATTTGTGAAACTACTGAACAAAAAATTGCTGTTTTTAAAAAGAAAATTCCGAAGAGTTTTAGCTCTCAAAGTTTTGCTTCATCTTCAGGACCTGAAAAAGTTCTTGACAATTTTCATCTTTGTTGATAGCTCGACGTTAATTTTTTATAAAAAATTTTTACTTGAAAAATTGAAATAAAAACGGGCTCGCATTCACTTTAGCACTAAAAACTTGAACTAAATTTTACTCTATGATAAAAAACAAAACTGCTATTCATAACTAATGAATATTCTAAGAGCTACATTAAAGATTATGGATCGATATGCGATATTTTGAAATTAATGTGTTAATACTCGATTTAAAAAACTTATTTGGCCATCTGCTAGGCAAAACTTGCCAACGCTCTCTTTGAGGACATATCATAAATGGACTAGTTAATAATTCAGTTTTTATTTTGTGCAATTTTTCAGAAACTGAGAAAAACAGGCTAAATTTTTTCAATATTTCAATTTTTTTTTCACATGAAAGGCAGGACAAAACTTGACCCGCATTAACTTGAGCTCTTTTTTATATTTAAAAATTTACAAAGTTTCGAAATTTCAAAAGAAAAATTTAAAAAAGAAGTGACAGTTGAAGTCGTTGAAGTGTTTCTCATAAACTTCTTTCATTTTCTTTGAAGTTTTGTTCTGAGCTTGTCAAATATTCATCCCAAGCTGAGCTAAATTTGATTGATTTTTGGATAGTTTTTGCCACTAAGTTTCTCTAATTAGTACATTCATCTATCGGCTAGAACAATTGTGCAACCAGCTTGATATCAACAATTAGCTTACAAATTATGCGTTTTTAGAGAATTAATTGTTGAATTGTCAATTTTTTTCTGGTGCAAAGTTTACAATTGTTTTCGCTTTTCTTACCATTATAAATGCAAAAACTCGTTTTGTCACTTTCAATCAAAAATAAACATTGCAGTTTATCAAATCAATCAAAAAAGGCTAAAAATTAACAACATTTTCTACCGTTGTGAAAATTAAGTACCAAAATAATGAAACTTTTACTCTTTCTTGTTATTTTTATCGAAACCTTTGAGTCAATTGTGGCTTCAAACCAAACATGCAAATCTCAAGCCCATCTTCTAGACGAAATCAAATCAAATTCCACAATTAATTTGTTCCCTGTGCAAAATCCCAATATTGCACTTCGAGCAATTGCAATTTTCGACTTTCTGCACCTTCTGCATGTTGATATTATGCAACAGCAAATCACGATTAGAGGGTGGGTGGCACTTGAGTGGAAAAATGAATTTGTTCACTGGGAAGCTCAAGATTACTGCGGGGTGACTCATATTCTGTCGAGTGGCGATAAAAATCAGCTGTGGTTTCCAGACGTGATAGGTTACACATGTCTTTCTACTCTTTGAACAAAATTTTTCAAAACACTTTTAAAAGACTTGCTGACAAAACATACCATTTAAAAAGTTTCAAAAGATTCAAACTGTAAGCTGTGCTCCATAAAAAAGTTAATCAAGACATAATTATCATCAAGTTTATTATCAAATAGGCTCGGTTTTTCAGTTTATTTGATTGCACTACTAGGTATAGACAAAATCTGACAACATATCAAAAAATTAGTTTATGCAGAAGTTCAAATTAAAATGACGAACACTAGTAGCTGAAATTGCGTGAATTTGAAATCGTTGAAGGAGTTGACATTTTACAAAGGGGCGTTTTTTTTTTCAAATATTCGTGGAAATTTTGTTTGTGTCAGCCGAGTTGAACTTCCGAACAGCTAAAAACCAGGAGGTTCTAGAAAAATATTCGCGCGAAGCAGTGTGTTTTTGGAATGAAAAAAAATCCACAAACGTTTTCGAGTACTTTTAGAAGTTTTTGACCAAATTTTTTTCGGCTTCGCTCATCCTTTTACTTTAGCGTATAATATGTGGCCAAAGCGCTTATAAGAAACGCTGAGAGCTGACTGAGCACAAATGGTTGAGGTAAATCACCTTTGAATTGTCCGGGTGTCCAAAACTTCTGATAAAAACAAGCGTTCGCCCCCAACCGATAGTGACTCTAAATCTAGATTGATTAAAAATTACAGCAAAACATTTAACCATTTCTAAAATTACTGTACTTTGACAAATTACAAAAATCACATCAATTTTAGTTGAAAGTATAAGTACTCTGTTCATACATCAAATGGTCCGTTTAGTACCCCAACTGGCATCGAATGAGGATATTCTGAAAGCGGGCTCTGCCCAGATGCGAGTGGACGAGAGAGGAGGTTCGATGATATGCAGATATGTGACAGTTCAGACCACTTGTGAGATGAACGCGTGGAAGTTTCCATTTGATAAAGTAAATATTGGGTCGCTTTTCCGAAAGGATTACCATTGTGAGACCATACACAATAAATGATTACCACTCGTTAAATTTAAATACAGCAAATTATCGACATTTTGCTTCCCCCCCCCCCTCAGTTTTCAGTGAAGTCAAAAAAATTTGAATTAGGTTTATATTGACGTTATTCAACAAAATTCGATAAATACATTTATTTGTCTTTTAAATGTTTTTTGTTGCTTATTTTTTTTTTCAACTTCATATCTCTGGATTCATCTGTCAATTTTTAGCACGAGTGTAGAATAAGTGTAAAGGCGGACGCGGACTCCACTGACCAGCTGGTCCTGCTGGCATCCAACAACAGTGGCAAGAGCTTCATGGAGGGGGACATTTGGAAGATACTCTCTTATGAACAGATCGGGTAAATTCATTGTTTTAAATTAGTCA